TCACAGATAGGATTTTTCTTCTGTGCCTTAGGGCTATGTGAGCGCATCAGGAGAGAGTTCTTTAACAAGATGCTGCACATGGGCCACTGAAAAGCCAGGGAGAGAAATGCCGTGCAATGGATGGCCCTTGGGAGTCTCCCTGCCCAGGCATCCTGGGCACTGCAGCTAGGGAGAATGCTGCTGTCACAGGCAGCCACAGCAGGTGGGCAAGTTACACTTAAGGACAGATTTCTCCAGGAGTCAACATCCTGACTTCCCCTCCGCTGGCAGTAGGTCCACCCACTCCAAGCCCTAGCCAAGACCTTTAGCCAGCTGCTACTGAGCTCGGATCCACCCCATCAGCCCCTCATTTGGGAGTCCAGAGGGCCACGTTCGTTTCTGCTGCTTTCTGGACAGCAGTGACCTCTCCTGCACTAAGGAGCTCATTACCAGTCAGGGACCCTGAGGCAGCCGTTCCTGACAGCAGGTGAAGATGAAAGCAATAACGCGCTGGCTGTTCTGCAACCCCTGGTCACCCCTGGTTTTATTAAAGTCCAAAGTCTCAAACATCCCTGATGAGGCTAAAAGGCTGGTGCCATGTGCGGAATCTGGGGCTGACAACTCCTTAGAAAGGGCAACACGGAGCAAGGACGTGGTTTCCAGAGAGGGAGGGTGGCCACCAGGAGATGCTGACTGTCTCAGTTTGCGTAGCTCCATCTCTCTGCTTACTCAAAAGTAACCTGGGCTCGGCGCCTATAGCTCAACCGGCTAAGGCGCCAGCCACGTACACCTAAGGTGGCGGGTTGGAATCCCCAGCCCGGACCCACCAAAACAACAATGACGGCTGCAACCAAAAAATAGCCGGGCGTTGTGGCGGGCGCCTGTGGTCCCAGCCACTTGGGAGGCAGAGGCAGGAGACTCGCTTGAGCCCAGGAGTTGGAGGTTGCTGTGAGCTGTAATGCCACGGCACTCTGCCCAGGGGGACAGCTTGAGGCTCTGTCTCAAAAAAAAAAAAAAAAAGTAACCTGTTTACTTCTGTTTATCAAACAAGCCAGTCCTCTGCTGCTTGCATGTGCACGGAAACCGTGTCCTCTCCATCCGCTGAGCCAAGTGTTCCAACTGGCCATCAGGCCCAGTGAGGCCCAGTCACCTACAGCAGAAGTCGCCAGAACTGGGCTTTGTACCCCTGGCCGCTGTTACCTCGCTGCCTCCAGTTCATAGTGGGATCTTGGGCCAGTCCCTCTGCCTGTCTGGGCCCACAGACAGGATGATGGACATTGGGTCCACTGTTGTGTGCAGGGGCCACATCACACTGCAGGCTACAGACCCCATGCTCCCAGCTGCCACGGTCCTGTGAGAAAGGGCAGGGGCCCTGTGGCCCCATATGCCCTGGAGGGAGCCATCCTTGAGAGCAGTTCATAGAGCCCTGGGTGATTCCATTTACCCTGAGGGACCCCTCACATTCCCCCCCCCCCCCAAGTCTCCCAAGTCTATAAACAAATTACCTCAGACTCCCTGAAGAGACAGCCAGTGAGAGCACAGCTCTGCGTCTGAAGGGGGGAGGGGAAGACAGTGCCAGCAGCCTTTGTTGATGCCTTCTCAGGGGGGCCTAGGAGCTTCTAGAATTCATCCCAGAGCCCTAACATGATTGTATCATTGATGTGAAGAATCACTCCTTCCAGGGTTCTTTGGCTGAAATGTAGCCGTCCCTGTCTGCAGGCACTCGTGTGGCTCCCCTTGTGTGCTGGTGGCCACTCTGGAGTACCCGCGGGTGTAGGCAAGGAACATGTGACCACAGGCGTCTTGCCACCAGGTGGGAGGGAGGCACAGCTGCAGGGCCAAGGGGGCCGCGGTGACTCCAGTGAACGGTTGAGAGGCAGGAAGTACTGCAGGGATGTGGGGGAGATTCTCACTGTGGGCTGGACCTGGGCGAGGGTCCAGGACAGGGGGGTGTGATACAGGTATAGGGGAATCCGAGCAAAGGGGAGGAGGGGAGGCATTTTGGCAAAAGGGACCAAACATATAGTAGCAGACAGAATAGAGAGTTAGCGCAGAGGACAAGAGAGGGAGAGAATCAGATGAGCAGGTAGGATGGGACTCTTACCTCCTCATGAGAGGCCCAAATGCAAGCTAAGGGGATGAGCCTTGATTCCAGAAACTACGTAGGAGGCGCTCCTGAGGGTGTTTGAACAATGGCATCAGGAAACGAAGGTCTGGCGCCAAAACACTCACTAGTCATGCAAACTTGAGCAAGTTACTTAACTTCGCAGATATTCATTTTTCTCCAGTGTGAAATGGGAATAACAAGAGCGCCTACCTGGTAGGGCTCGTGTAAGAGTCACCAAGATAATTTAGCAAAGCACTCAGCGGAGTGCCTAGTGCACGATCAGCGTGCCATGGTGTTAGCTCCTCCTGCCGTGCTTTCAGAGTCAGAAAGGGTTTCGGTAACTTTGAGCAGGATGGAACCTTGGAGGAAAATAAAGGGAGCTGGGGCTTCTTGTACACGAACCTCAGCACCTCCGTCAGAGGCGGAACATTTCACCAATGCACCTGCGATCTGATCCCTGCTGCCGGATCAATGGCATAGGGCAGTTGCTGAGTGCCCCTCTCTTGACCAGAGACTAGGGGGACGGAAGCCGCACCTGAGGGTGGTGAATATCCTAGCAATTTCTTTTAACTGGTTATATCCACCAGACCACCTGGGCGTTGAGGGTGGGGAGAATGTCTTTAAGTGGGCAGGCACTTATAAATATAAATGGACAAGCAAATGAACAAATAAATGGCTGAGGTGTGGCCCAAAGCACAGGGAGCAAATGTCACCATGAAGTGCTTCCTAGGTGAGCTGGAAAGGGCATTGCTTCAAGGTGGAGTACAAGGGCACACTCCCAAAAGCCAGGGATCCAGCTGGCTGGGCAAGGCTTTTAAACCTGAATCTCAAGTTCTTTGTCTGTGAAGTGGAGGGAATAATGACAGCAGCCCCTACCCCCAGAGTCGCTGTGACCCTCAGAGGTGGACATTTGTCATGCAGCTGCTCCACAGGGACTGGTCCTGGATCTCTGGCTCTGCAGAGGCCACAGGGCTCTGTGCTGGGGCGGGGGGGTGGGGGGCATCTCTGCAGAGTGCCCAGCTCTGGCCCCTCCAGATCCTCTCCTGGAAAGTGGGGTATATTCACCTCCTGCTACTCCTGGAATTTGATTGGGAGGGGCAAGGGGTTCCCTAGGGCTAGGGAAAAGGTGGGTATCAGAGCCACCTAGAAAAGAATATTGGGACCGCAGGAGGAGGGTTGCGGGAAGGAGGGGGTCTTGGATTATTCTCTAGGTGGGGGCAAGGCTCTAGAAGTCTCCAGTAGAAGGTTGTTCTTTGTAAAAAGAATAGACAAAAACCTTGGTGTCACCCTCAACTCCTCTCTTTCCCAGAAGTCATCCCCTCCTCAGGGAGGCCATCCCCGGCTCAAAATGCAACTATAGTCTCCCCTGTGGTCATATTTTATATCCCCCTTCTCTGCCTGATTTTTTCTTCTTGATACTTTTGACTATCTAATTTATTTATTTACCTTTTTTATTGTCCTTTGCCCTAATACAATATAAGCTCCATGAAGAAGGGATTTTTGTCTATTTTGTTCTCTTCTATATCCCCAGCCCTCAGATCAGCACCTACACACAGCTGGTGCTCAATGAATATTTGTTGGCTGGCTGGCTGGCTGGCTGGCTGGCTGGCCTGCCTGAAATCAGAGCTACCTCAAGCTCTGACCTCCTCAAACTCAAACCTGCTCAAACCTGGCTCTGGGAGCACTGAGAGAAGAAACATCTGCTTATCTCAGAGCCCAAGCCAGCCTCACACCTGCAGAAGGAGGCTTCACCGTGACAGCACCCTCCTTTGTCAAGTGGAGGAAGCCATTTGGCATAACACTATTTACTGGAAGGACTAGTTTACCATCTTGAAGTTTTTTGTTTGTTTTTGAGACAGAGTTTCACACTGTCACCCTGGGTAGAGTGCCTCAGTGTCATCAGAGCTCATGGCAAACTCCTGGGCTCAAGTGATCCTCCTGCCTCTACCTTCTGAGTAGCTAAGCCACAGGTGCCCACCATGACACACAGCTAATTTTTTTTTTTAAATAGTGATAAGGTCTCACTCTTGCTCAGGTTGGTCTTGATCTCCTGACCTCAAGTGATTCTCCCACCTCAACCTCCCAGAGTGCTGGGATTACAGGCGTGACCTATTACAACCTGGCTGCCATCTTGAAGTTTCCCCGTTGTTTCAGAAACTTCCAGGGATCTCTGGCCACGATGAATCTGGGACTAGGAGAGGCAGCAGAGCGTGTGCTCTGGGTTGAGTTTATCTTTGAAAAATGACAAGGTGATCCAAGGCCTGGCATCAACATGGGCTGGGAAGTGTGTCTCTTTGGTTGGCAGCACGTCCTGAGTGGGGCATCAATTCCTTGTGCTTCAGAACCAAGACCGAAAGTTGGAATGTTGGGTGTGTCTGGGGAGAGGCCAGGAACCTGCCAAGAAGCAGAGACATTGACACAGAATGACTGAGCTCAGGGCCAGAAGAAGAAAAGGACTGCAGATCTGCTGGGAGAGGGGCTGCCTGACAGCAGGGCTGCCTGACAGCTGGAGTGTGTGTCTCGTCTGGGTCACTGTCATGACCGTGTATCTGGAGGAGTGAGAAGTCGGGGGTCAGTGACGGAGAAAGGGGAGCTGAAGTAAAACATGAATGGGTCACAAAGGGGTTGGTGGTTGCGGGCTGCAGCCGAGGAGTGCACCTAGGGCCAGGCCAGCATACACAGAATGGCAAGGATCTGGTCAAAATCAGAAAAGGGTATGGAAGGGACCAACCAAGTCCACTCACAAGGCAATATTGTTATCATTGCCTTTAGACCTAGTTACTCCCAGAGAATGGTTCCTTGGGCTGGAGCGCCCACAGATGCTGCAAGGGGAGTGAGGCCCACAGATGCTGTGCAGAGAGCGGGGGCCCCACCCGCGTGCCCCTCACCTGCTCTCTTGTCTGCTTCTTTGCAGGAAAGCGTGGACTTGGGTGAGATCATGTTCTCCCTCTGTTACCTGCCCACAGCAGGCAGGCTCACCCTCACGGTCATCAAATGTCGGAACCTCAAGGCGATGGACATCACAGGCTACTCAGGTACCTCCTACCCCGGCGGCCTGCCAGCAGTGTGGACAATAGGATTTGGAAGGGTGTTCGAGGAGAAGGGGAAAGAATTGTCAGTGTTCTTGGAATAGAAGCACCGGCTCTGGCAGCACGCTGCCCAGAGTCGATTCCAGTTCTGCCCCTGCCTTGCTCTGTGAATGCTTTGGTTTTCTAATCTGAAAAATGGGAATGGTGATGCCTTACATGGGTTGCTTTCGAGATAAACAAGTTAATTCATGTAAATGTTTAGAATCATGGCTGGCATAGAATACACGCTCAGTAGATACCATCTGTTACTATCATTCTTTCTGTTAGAGGAGGGAGAAATATATAGGAGAAAAAAAATTAAGGACAGCCTTTCCTGTTCATGTGAGGCCTCAGCACTTCTGGAAGGGTTATGTCAAGTCTGGGTGTGTAAATGTTTATAGGCCTGTGCAGGCCTATGGCAGCAGCCCTGAGGACTGAGTCAAAGAAGAAAATCCACTGAAAAGCAAAGAGCATTTGTATTTGAGTTTCTCCTGCGGGGCTCCCAGCCCCAGCCTCAGCACCGAGAGAGCCGCTAGCCATAGCAGGAGCACAGCAGACAGTGCTAGTGCAGCAACAGAGGCAGTGCTTATCTGGGGACAGCTGCAGAGACCTGCAGGCAGGCCACGGTATCCGAGGTTCGAGCCTTCCCCCTGAGTTCTGTGAGTTGATGTACGCGAAGGTGTTTGAGTTAGGGAATAGCAGAGGAGTAGCTTGAGTCCTGGGGGCCTTCTCCCCCATCCCAGCTCAAACTTCTCTGAGGAGTGAAATGGGCTCAGACTCCCAAAAGAATAGGCACGTACGGCTTGGCTCCTGTAGCTCAGCAGCCAGGGCACCGGCCACATACACCAGGGCTGGTGGGTTCAAACCCAGCCCGGGCCGCTAAACAACAATAACTACAACAAAAAAATAGCCAGGCATTGTGGTGGGCGCCTGTAGTCCCAGCTACTTGGGAGGCTGAAGTAGTATAATCACTTGAGTTCAAGAGTTTGAGGTTGCTGTGAGCTGTGATACCATGGCACTCTACCAAGGGTGGCATAGTGAGACTCTGCCTCCAAATAAAAATAAATAAATAAAAAACCCAACCACCCACCCCCAACCCCAAGCCCAAGAGGCTGTTCTGATGACTCAGATTATCAATGTAAAACCATTCAGGACGTGCCTCTGAACTTGGCTGGGAATATAGTGAAGATTTTTCCTCATATCTCCTTTACATACATTAATTATTTATTTGCTGGAAAATGCCTTAGTGTAATCACAGCTGCTGTAAAGAAGTGACAGTTCAGCTGAAAACATCTGGGCTCAGGTGCAACCTGCTGCAGTTGGAAGAAGACGAGGTATCAAGCTCTGGGAATGGAGGTTTCAGGGAAAGGTGGTCAGGAAACCAGGAAGTCATCTGTGTGGGGGGCAGCTTCGCATCCGTCCCTCGGAGCCCCTGCTCCAGCCTCCAACTGTCTCTCTGCAGTGCTCCTGCCTTCTGGGCCAGCCCCCATCCCCGCCCCCAGACAGAGATGGCCTTCACGCTTCTCCTGCTGAAGGCACATCAAGACGCGGGGAAGAGATTAGCGGACCTTTGCTGACTTGGGAAAAGCTCTTAGGCAGCAGCAAGTCAGCGTCCCCCCAAATACAGCCAATGCAGATTTCATTTTAATACCAAAATAAGTACATGCTGGGGACAGAAATTCACCAAGGACTCCCGAGACTGCTGAGGGAAATAGGATTTTGCTGCCTAAGTCCCCACACTATCTTCTCTGGCGTAATTAAATTGATGTGCTAGAGAGCGAGTGTATGGTGGAGCCACCGAGGTCATCACAAAGGCTGTTCCAAATGAGAGGGTTTAGGGTGAGAGTTTTTATCATGCTGAGTTCTAACCTCCCTCTCACAATTTCCCCTCTTTCCTACCTGGGTCCGGAAGCTGGTGTTAAATCTCAGCTTGGTTCTGAAGATGCGGGGGTCCCTCTTTTTGGCAGAGATTTCTATTTTGTTCACAGCAAGGGTATGGACAGTGCCTGGAACACTGTGAGCTTTCAAAAAAATTGTATTGAATGAACGAATTTATTTACCTATTATTTATTTATAGCATGAGGGACCTGACCTGCCGGTGATGCAGGCACAGGAGGACATGCCAGGGGCCTCGCAAACTAAAGCTCCTGTTTCTTTCTTTCTTTTTTTTGTTTTACCCTAAGACTCTGTCACCATGTGTAGAGTGCCTTGGTGTCATCATGGCTAACAGCAACCTCAAATTCTTTGGCTCAAGAGATCGTCTGGCCTCATAGACACTCACCACAATGCCCAGCTAGTTTTTTGTTTTAGTAGAGATGGTGTCTTGCTCTTGATCACGCTGGTCTCAAACTCCAGAGCTCAAGAGACCCTCCTACCTTGGCCACCCAGAGTGCAAGGATTACAGGTTTACTGCCCCTGGCATAGATCTGTTCTTGAGGATGAGTTTGATGTTGGAGTAAACACAGGGAGTGAATAGAGCTTATTATTGCTTGTTCTTGAAACTCATGCCATTGACCTCTAAAACCAACAATCTGACTATTCTTGATCTAAACTAGCCCTGGATCAATTCTCTAAACCTATTTGCTAGAACCTTGATGATAAAAATGGTACAAAACAATAATAAGGACCAGTATGCGACAAAAGGGTACTGAGTGAGTAACCCCACTCATCTCTACTATATCTGCTCTGTCCTGCTCTGAATCAGATGATCAAAAATGTGGGCACTGGAGTCAGACAAAGCTGGGTTCAAATCTTAGGCACATTCCTTAATCTCTCTAACCCTCAATTGCCCATCTATGAAACAGGGATGACGATGATAGATATTTTATAGGGCTGTTGTGGAGTTTAAATCACATGACACATCCTAAATGCTGAATTCTGATGGCCCCCATGACAACGAGGCTGAAATATACTGCTGGTCTTTGTGTCCCCTCCCTTAGCTGCATAGGGCACCGTAGGCTAAGAGGAAGGGACCTCCGAGATCATCTGGGGCCAGTGTTCCACTAGACAGAGTTCTCTTTTGCCCCAGAGAACCCTAGTGAATGGTCTAGAGCAGTGTTTTTCAACCTTTTTTTATCTCACAGCACACTTGAACCTGTAGTTAAACTTCTGTGGCACACTTAACTTATGTTGCTCAAAAAAAAAAAAAAAAAAAAAAACTAGAATATACTTACTATGCTTTGAACTTCTTTCAAAAATAATTTAAGTAATGATCTTTAAAAATTTTCACAGCACACCTAAGATCCTCTCATGGCCCCCCAGGGTGCCACGGCACTCTGGTTGAATATTGCTGGTCCATAGGCTCAGGCCCAGAAATGCTGGTGAGCGTGCTGGTTCCAGTGAGGGAAGTGTGTCCGCTGAATTGCACAAATGGGTTATGCCTCACAGGAGTGAACGGCGGTGGGGAAGGTGCTAAGGCATCTGCTCAGTGGCCTGTGGGACGAGCGCCTCTGCCTATACTTCGGAAGCCTCATGATGTGGAACTTGCTCAGATGTGGGGCACAGGGAAATAGGCAGAGCAGGGGATGAGGCAGCTCCTGAGCAACCTCCAGCCTGGGGACACTTTCCAAGGCAGGGGGCACCCTGAAGGATTTAAAGCTGCCGTGCGAAGGGCCTTGGGGCTAGACAATGGAGCCTGCCCAAAGCGGCCTGGTGCCTTCTCCCAACTTGGCCTTGCTTTTCACCAAACATCCCCTGAGAGAGAGCGTGTTCAAGTGGGAAGTCAGAGGCAGCAGGTTGATTAAACGCTTCACCGTCTCCCCACAGTGTCCCTGTGGTTAAGGCATAGCTGTCACTGTCACATTGATTAGTCAGCGGCTCATTTAGATGTCTATGGAAAGGCCTTCAAGGCGTGGAGTTTCTGATTTGGTTCCCACCATCGGTGGGTGCCTCATCTGCCACCTGAGCAGTGCCAGGGAGTATGATGGCCTAGTGTATTCGGACCCCCAGGGGTTAGAGCCGCATGCCTGTGAATCACGGAGCCAGGGAGCAGCCGCCTTGGCCTGCACCTCCTGACAGACTCGCAGGAGCCCTGGCTTCTTGGCAAAATGGTGTCACAGCACATCAGCGTCTCAAAAGCTGTTATTACCTGTGAGTCGCCATCTCCTTTCTTGAGCTGTGCGGCATAAATAACAATTCTGATGGTGACCGAGACACCTGTGCTATGAGATACTTCACTGGGATGAGTAGAAAATTTCAGGGTAGAAAAATGACCCTAAAATACCCATTCAGAAAATGAAAGAAGAGAGTAGGGTGGGAGGCACATGAAGTTCAGTAAAAAGACATCTCTTTGCAGGATGGAGAGAATCCAAGATCCTACTGAGAAAGGAAATGTCAGCCAGCTGCCCTGAGTCCCGCGAGATTGCCTCTCTCACTCCCTTGGCCACAGCCCTGCTCAGAAGTGGGCAGGAAATGGCTTCCAGGGGAGCAGACAGCAAGGCCACTTACCCCTTCTGATGCCAAATGAAAAGGAGATGATTGGGACAATGGGACTCAAAATCACATTGTCGGGGGCGGGGGGGGGGGGGGGGGAGGACATGAGCAGCATGGTGACTGGTGCTGTTCATTTAACTCTGACACGTTGCTATTCCTTGGGCATCACTAAGGTCTATTTTTATGCCCCTTGTCCTTTGGTTAATAATATTGGAAACAACAACAACAACAACAAAATAAAGAAAGAAATAGAGCATCCTTATTCAGCTTCACCACACTTTTGTGCCACCAGCCAATGTGAGGCTGAGAACGCCATACCCATGGGCAGGTGTCACGTCTGATTTGGGGCCAGCCTCTCTATTACTGAAAGTCTGTTAAGTGCTCTCCCAAGAATACTGAGGTAGCTAAAGACTCTGTTTGTTAAGCACGGAGTGTCCTCAGAGACAGGTGTGCTACATAAACCCAAGGTGGTTTAATTATTTTAACCACCCACTGATGCCATCTGATAAGCAGCAGTAGGCCCAGGGCTTCGGTCCCTTGCTGAAAATGATACTCGAGAACATCTGTGTGACACATTCCCTTCCCTTTCCACGCCCCCATTGTCACAGATCCGTATGTCAAAGTGTCCCTGCTTTGTGATGGGCGGAGGCTGAAGAAGAAGAAAACAACCATCAAGAAGAACACTCTCAATCCTGTCTACAACGAGGCCGTCATCTTTGACATCCCTCCGGAGAACATGGACCAAGTCAGCCTGCTCATCTCGGTGATGGATTATGACCGGTGGGTGCATGTCCTACGTGGCACAGGGCTCCCTGACCTTAGACCTTGTGCTTCAGGGCTTGGGTGCTCAGTGACCGCAAATCTGGCTCCACCAGATTTGGGTGCAGGTGTTTGAGGAAGAGCATGGATACCCCCCTTAACACAGGCCTCAAGCTTCCCCTCCTGCTGCCCTGTTCCCATCAGGGGCAGCTCCACCTGTCACCTGGCCCGGATTCCCCCCTGGGTTTTCCCATTCTTCCATCTGGCACCCAGTCCTATCATCTGTCCTTTGAAATGTGTGTCTGTCTCCATCTCTGCTGCTGCTCCCACTCTCACTATGGGAGGGCTGTGCACCTTCTTAGGGGATCCCTGCCTCCATCGCTTCCTGAGGACATATCTTCCTAAATGACCACCTTTTTCCTGGACCTGCTTTTCTCAAGCACGGTGGCTCATGCCTGTAATCCTAGAACTCTGGGGGGCCGAAGCAGGTGGATCGCCTGAGCTCAGGAATTTGAGACCAGCCTGAGCAAGAGCGAGACCCCATCTCTACTTAAAATAGAAAAACTAGCTGGATGTCGTAGCAGGTGCCAGCTACTCAGGAGGCTGAGGCAGAAGGATCGCTTGAGCCCAGGAGATGAGGTTGCTGTGAGCTATGACACCATGGAGCTCTACCCAGGGCAACAGAGTGAGCTTTTTTATTTTTTGAGACCAAGAACCATCGGTGGTTCCTATTGTCCAGGATTTTCTCCTGAACTCTCAAGGCCTTCCTCAATCTGCACCCAGCACACCTATCCAGCTTGATTTCTACTTCCTCAGATGTATTACTATCTCTTATCTTCCACTCATCCCACTCTTCCATCTAGGCTGGCCCCCAGACATCAGAGCCCCGAGGACTCCAGCCTTCAGTGATCACTTTAGCTACAGGAAAAAGAAACCATGCAAAAAAGTCTGAGTGCAGGACTTTTAGCACAAGTTGTTGCATGGCGGATGCTTGATGAACATACTTGAGTGATCACTGACGTTCTCGCTGAGTGAATAATCACACGCCAGCTTCCAGGGGTGTGGAGAAATGGTGCTCAGAGAGGGCTGGTTTATCTGCAAATGCTGATGTCTCAAGTAAGGTTGTGAAGTGCTGGCCAAGTCACACAAGGAAGAGAACTTAAACTCCCCCACCTCCCAAACTCAGGTTATTTGCCCACCGTTTCCTGAGATTCCAAAGAATTTTACAACCTTTTGCTCATCTGTCCACTGTCCACCCAAGGAGGCTGGGCAAGGCTTCACTGCTGCTGACATCCAAAGCCCCTGCCCATCTGTTTTCAGAGCTCAGAGTTCAGAGTTAGACCCACTGGGCAGAGTCTTGCCCTGGGACCTCCCTTTCTGAGAGCACATGTGGTAGTCAATGCTGGGCCCTTTGTCTCTTCCTCAGAGTGGGCCACAATGAGATCATAGGAGTCTGCCGTGTGGGGATCAATGCTGAAGGCCTGGGCAGGGACCACTGGAATGAGATGCTGGCGTACCCTCGGAAGCCCATTGCACACTGGCACTCCTTGGTGGAGGTAAAGAAATCCTTCAAAGAGGTGGGTGAGGTCGCCTGGCCCTTGGCATGTGTGCTGCATGGCAGTGTGGGCTGGAGAATGGCAGTCGGCTGCTCCAAGACCATGGGCCCTTGTGGGAAGGCAGTGTGGGTCACATGCTTCTCACCCAGTGTGTAACAGGCTGGAAGGAAATGAAGGAGGGAGGTGGAGGCTGCTTGACAGAAAGCCCCTGACATTGGGCATTGTGAAAGCAACACTGAGTTCTTAACGGAAAACAAGAACTTTGAGGAAGCCTTCCCAGCAAACCACTGTGAGGCCTGAAATGCTTTTACAAAGCCCTGGCCAAGTCAGTCCTTTAGGAGAAGGCCCCAAGGGTGTGAGATCAGAGCTTGGCAAGAAATTCTACCCCTGTTGGAAGAGTAAGTTCCCTGAGGCTCAAGCCACGCGGTCACTTGGCTTTTCACTGTGGAATGGAGATTGCCAAAGAGCAAATTCTTCCTTTTATAAATGTTGGTTTTTACCATTGTTGAGGAGGGGAGTGTGGACTATAGTTGTCGTGCTTTCTGGCTAAAGGTGTGGGGCTGGCTCAGCGCCCATAGTACAGCGGTTACAGCGCCAGCCACATACACTGAGCGTGGCGAGTTCGAACCCAACCTAGGCCAGCTAAACAACTGCAACAACAACAACAACAAAATAAACAAATAATGGTGTGGGGCTGGATCATTGTGGGTTCTACCAGAAATGTAACGGAGAGCACTGGGCTAGGAGTCCTGAGACTTGGGCTACAATCTCTGCCCCTTCTGACTTGCTGTACAACCTTGACCCTGCCACTTCTCTCTTAACTGCAAAGGTGGTGTTTCTTAGGCTGATGCTCACAGTCTGCTCCACCGTCCACTGACCCCCACCAATTTAAGATTCTGTGATCTATCTCCTCAGTGGTTCCCAGCCCTTGTTTTTCTCAAGTAGGTTGGGATGTGGAGTGACCAGGAAAGCCTTAAACCTCATTTTCAATATCTCCCACCCCAGTCCATGTCCTAGAAAGCTGGATAATGATTGCATCATCTCAACAGGCTTCCAACCCAGCAAGTCTAGAGAGTTGTGTACAATTGGAAAACCTTACTAATACAAAAATAAACCTTTATTTCTTCTACCACATGGCCCCCCAGCTTAAAATCAGAGCCCCCTTAAAAGCAGAGTAATCCATTCCCCACCTTCTGTGCTGCAGAAAAGTCAGGGCAGCAAACCCAGAGAACCTGCTGGATCCTTTTCCATCTCAGGGTGAACAAACCTATTTCCACCTGCCCTAGTAGCAGGAGCCACTGAGGGGCAGAGAGACCTCCTGACTGAGAACCGCGCTGATGGATTTACCCCTCCCAGGGAGGCGTATGCTTTGTGAAGCACCACCAAGGAGTGACAAAGTCCCTGTCAGCTGAGGCCTCACGTTTCTGTCCTGCAGTTGTCCTGATTTTACCACATTGAGTAAGGCCAGGCCCTCAGCTCTTCAGCTCTCCTGGGGACCCTGTCCCCTGCTCTGTAGAGTGTGAGTGAGGTACCCACCACCAGCACCCACCCCCAATTCAGGAGGTGCCACCATGTGGCACACTGGACAACTTGGAGGCCACATCCAGCAGCTCACTGAACGCTGCATTGACTCAACTCAAGAAGGGTTAATAATAAGACCCTCATTTTTTAATCCCTTAAGATATTTAAGAATAAAATAGGTCCATGTATGCTTAACTGTTCAGGATGGCTTAAGGCCAGAGCATGGAATGAGAGCTTAGGGGCCTATAGTGGGTCATAGGGCCTTTGAGGGGGTCAACTCCTCCCATCTCTGCTTCTCTAGGAAAATCTGACCCTAAATGATGGCTAAGCCCACGAGCTCACGTCTTGCACCATGACTGCCCTTGAACCTGCAGTGACCCATCCCTGTCCCCAGCCTGGTCCTGCCCATGGAAAATGGAAAGTAACCAAGAGAGGGGCCACAGCTGGGGGTGAGGGGGTGCAGGGTGCCACACAGGGCCAGGACTTGGCCTAGAATCCCTCTCCTTCATGATGAATACAAACTAATTAAGCCAAATAATTGATTCCAAGTCCCTGTTTCTTTGAGAATTCTGGCTCCCTCGTCCAGACTACAAAAGAAAGATAAAGTAAAAGCAAGCCCTTGAAAATGAATATTTGATGAGACAGTAAAGGGAAAGTAACAGTATATGGAAAATGAAAAGAGAATAAATTGAGGGCCTTTGGGTTTTCTTTTTCCTTGACCTTGCACACCACGCTGAGCCCACCCCTCCCCTATGGGCTCGCCTTCCCCACCACACACAAATTTGCTGCTCAGCTGATTATTTCTCTGTATGAAGAAGCCGAAAATGACATTCATTTTGGCAATTTAGGACTTCACCAGACACAATCCCTTAACATTTTTCCTGATACTTTTAGCACCCACAGTTTAAATATCTTTATCAAAAATGCATCTAAAAACCCGGCAGGCTAACATTAAGTAAACACCTTTTGTGGTCGTGCAATGCATTGCACTTGAGCATACATCCTCCCAGTCATCCGCAGAGCTCACAACCTGCCTTCCTTTCATTCCTGTTCCGGATATGGAATAAGAGCCTCGCTCCTGAAACTTGTATCTCCCATTCATAAAGAAATCTTGTTTTCCAGCTCCCAGGAAGGCAAATGGCATCATATCTGTATAGGACTCGGTTTTTATCTCGTACCTTTCTTAGAAGAGTTTCAAGTGCTGGGTTCATTTCTTTTTTATTAATCAGAACAGAAGGCATCATGCTTGCTTGCTTGCTTGGGGTTTAAAATAAAGTTCAGGGGAACAAATTAACCAGAAAGCTGTCTGTCCTTTCTGGGATTATTTTCATGAATAAAAATGTATTGGGCCATCACAAGCACCCTTCCCCAGCATGGTGCCAGCCCCCTTTCCTCTCAGCGCTGCCACCCAGTGACTGTGTCATTGCTGTCACCACACCCGGGTTGACCAGCGCTCTTCTCCAGGCATGGATTACACAGAGCCAAGTTCAGATGATCTGACAGAGAGTTTAGATCTCTGCTGCAACATGACCCATTTCAAAACAATAGAAGACCTTACTGGAACACAGCCATCCTAGAATAATAATCTCCCTGCAGGCTGGGGACAGGTTCTCTGCTATTTTGCAGCTACCATAAGCCTCCTGCAATCATTTGCCTTGCCATCGGCCATGAGCCCATCTCCTCCCTTTGTTCATCTTCATAGGAAAAATCAGGGACTAGCAGGGGAGCTAGTGTTCCTTCTTCATTTGTTCCGGATAAACAATTATGCTCCCTGTGACTACTCTTTGGCCTGTTACGTAAAGGAAAAAAGGTACTCTGTGCAGCCATTTCATGTTTTTCCCTCCAACCTGGCCTATCAGTCCGATTGTTTAAGTGGCATGCTCACCCAGGGAAGAAGCCAGTAATTACAATGTACCTTCCACCAACATTAAAGGTTGTAGCAGGAAAAAGTAGAACTCCTAAAATGAAGGTCTGTTAAATGAAAGCTTCAGTAATCATCTTATGTCACCTTCTGGGTAAGAAACACTTGAGTCAGAAGCCACAGTGGGCTCAACAATCAGGCATTTATTTATCTAAAATATTTCACCAGGGAAACCCTCGGTTGTGATTTCATCCACGTGGATGCTGCAAGCAGAGAGACTGCCCCCCGGAGTTAGGAGTAAGTACCTGGTGTGGATCCCAAGAGGTTAGGTTTCTTACTACATTTTGTGTCTCCTTCTCCTGGAGTGGCCAGATGCTAAGACAGCAGCAGGAGCAAGCGGAAAGAGCACTGAGTCGGGACTTAGAAGACCTGGTTTGGGGTCCTGGCTCTGCTCCTAACTAGCTGTGTACTGACTTCTTATTTGCAAGAATAAGAGGGCTAGACTGGATGATTGCCCAAGCCTGACATGCCAAAATTCCCTAGGTCAAGTTCATGGAGACCCATTGGTCCAGCTCTTGGTTGGTTGGTCTGCACAGGCATTATAAAAAGCCCATGAAGAACTGGGCCCAGAGAAGGGTGAAGCTTTCCTTAACATTGGGAGCATTAAAGTTATTCTATAGGTCTGGGTTGATGCTCAGCTTTGTGGGTTTCCTGTTTACTCCACAGCTAACACTGGATGGCACATGCTCTATTCCCTGTCTAAAAATAGCTGTGTTGGGGGGAACACATCTTTCCCCAACCCACCCCCAAACACGCAAGTCTGTATGAAGTTCCAGCTTCTACTCAGCCTCACCTCTGTACAGTGAGGACCCTTAGTGTTCATGAGAAGCAAAATAGGCTGTTTCAAGGTCACCTTGACCACCTACCTATCCTCTGTCTCTGGCGCCATGTGCTGGAGGCACCTAGGAGAATACTGAGTCTCCTCTGCCCACACGGGGCTGGGGGGAGCAGAGGACACTGACTTGCTTTGAAGCTATGCATCCCCCAGACACTTCGAGAACATTCACAGGCTCAGATCCTTGCCGAGGAAACATTGCTATACCTGAGACTGGCTTTTTCCATTTAAATAAGGGTTGAATGGCTTGGGTGCATCCATCGCCAGCCCTCTCCTTCACCCCATCACTCCTCATTGCATTACACATTTTTGCAGAAGGGTTGAAGTCGGGCAGAGAGGAGGATCTGTGAGGCCGGAGAGCTGGGGAGGAGAAGGGGCTGGAGAAGCCCAAAGGGTCTCCTCACAAATGGGGTGCAAATGCCCAGAGGGAGAATTAAGACAGAAGAAAGCCCAGAGCTGAAGCATTATCAGGGTTTTAGCTGTACTAACAGCTCCCAGACAAATTGCTAATAATTCATGATCGTGGGCTCTTGGCAGTAAGGGCACACTCTGCAGACTGCCTCTTTCGCTGCTAACATAATACAATTTTCGGTGTGAAAAATGACTAACACACTCACAAATGGTGTAGTCACAGCTCCTCTTTAACACACACACACACACACACACGCAACAAAGAAAGCTTTAATTCTCTTTGTAATAGTTCTTTTCGAAAATCAGGTATTCCAAACTAGAAGCTCAAAGCTGTTTTCTTTGTTTTTGCATGGCTGACAGCAAAATTCAAGAAAGCTTATGAGAAGCCGGGGAAAGTGAATTCAGTGCATGGGCCATTTAAGTTTTGCAAGTTAAAACATAAATCTCTCAGCCACTAATAACCGGATTTTTCTCTCTTGGCAGTGGCAGGGCCGAGCTGCCAGCTTTGACAGTGAGAGCTCCTGTCCGTCTCCGAAACCACCTCCGACACCATGAGCTGCACGGCCGAGCAACACAAACGGGACTCAGCGATGTTCTTTTTACACTTGTTCAACCGTCTAAATGCAGTGTCACGCAGTGTGGTGGCAGCGGCAGCCGCCTGTCACTCCAGAGTCTTACCTATTCCTGGGTAGGTCAAGGCTGAGACACTTGTCGTGTGGTCAGATCTGTCTTAGTCTTTTCTGTCTCCCAAGGTGATGTTTTTTGTGGTTTTCACTCTTTATGGGTCCGCTGTCAAGAAAAGAAGATTTAAAAAAAAAAAAAAAAGCAGGAAAAAACAAAGGGTGGAGAACCCAGAAGTTGGTTCTATAAAATACAAATGTAAAAAGTAGTCTATTCAGGAGACATGGATTGAGTTTCTGAAATTTTGTGTCTCCACCAAGCTCTGCAACCCTGGAGAAGGAGGAGGTGGGTTGGAATGGCGTCTGTGTTTTCAACACCCTGTAGGATGGCACCAATCAATCAAAGAGCCTTCACGAGGCTCATTATTCTCTGGAGCTCTGGGATGGTGGGACTCCTGGTCCCGCACTGAAACCACAGGACCTGGGAGGTGTCTGTGGACCTCGAGCTGGTGTACAGGATTCCCCTCCCTTTGGCTTTCTTCGTGAACTGAAAACGTCTTGATTCCTCACGGGAACTCAGTCACTTTCTTTAGGAATGACTCTGCTGAAACTAAACATGCCATATGTTTTCTGACGCACCACAGTTAATGATCACATTTGTTTGAAAACAGAATCTTTGTTCTCAAAAATAACCTTCATTGTAAAGAAAGAGAGAGCACATATGTTCCGGAATGATCTCTGTGTTATACATAGCTTTATAATTCCATGGAATCTCAAGCAGCTGTTTAAAATGCCTAAACAGATCAAAGAAAAATCTAGATAAAAATGTTCTTTTCTGAATGGGGAGTTTTGAAATCCAAATAACAGTTGGAGTCCATCTTTCTTGGAAGAGTATTTTCTTGATTGAAATCAAGACAGCTTAAGCCTATGTCATTGACTCTGGGACGATATTTATCTTAAACTTTAATTCTATAAATTACTAGGTACTTCTGTGTGTTTGTTGCAGTGGTCGTGAGGGGTTTTGGTCTCCTTTAGATATCTACCTTAGGCCAAGTCCAGTTAGGGGAAAAAAAAAACACATCTGAACTATTCTGTATCGTAATAGCACATATCTGTTAAGTTAATAGTGGCCTTCCCGCCAACCCCTAAGAAGGGTGGTTTGCTGAGTCTTGGTCTGTGTGTCCCTGGTAAGCACGTGGAGGTGAGTTTCTGCTTCACCTTGTAATTACACAAGGCCGATTTTCAGAGCTGCGTGCATGACTTGCAAGAGGCAAGTCTGCTTGAGAACCCCTCCTTTCCCCAACAGAAGATCCAGAGCATAAAAACCACTCACACACCTTGTGTCTTACTCTTTATATCTGTCACATGCTATAGAAGCAACGGCCTCTGCAGTAACCCGCATTATAAGCCAAGTTATCAGGTTGCTTTGCAGATACAACTTGGGCACCAAAAATGAACCAGACTGAGCATGAGCTAACAGGATATTGTGGAGCTCCAAGTTTTCCACTTAAAAAAGCAAAGGTAGATACGTCTAAATTCCACCCTGTACTCAACCTTAGGCTAAGGACTAATGTGTAAAGATAACTTTCCTCCCCAATGTCCTATGATTGACAGGCCTTCCTAGTCAGGCAGCCCTGACTTTGGGTGTTCTACTGAGAGTAGGGAAAGAACTCAAGGTCGTGACAACACTCTCAGCAGGTGACAAACTTCATTATGTTTCTTGATGCTAGGCTGACTCCATCAGGGTGACCATCTCTGTCGGTGAGCAGAAGCTGGGGGTCTTGCCGCAACCAAGGGAATACTTGGAGCCCAGAAATTAGTGTAAGAAGGTCCTTTCAGCAGTGAACTGAAAATCCATGCCTAGCTGTCATCTTTAAACCCTCAGGTAGCTGAGGATACCCACTCTAAACTTTTGGAGAAGGGAGTAAGTGGGGTCAGTTTGAATCATTGAATAGTATTGCTTGTCTGAGAGAGTCTTCCTGTATTCAAGAAGCTATCTCACGTGAGTAAACATCCTGGAAGTTTCAGGAAGTCATTTCCTGAACTGATTATGGCCAGGCCAGACACCGCTGACCAACCGTTCCACTCTAGCAAGTTCCTTGCAGACATGGTACCCCCACCCCAGAGAAGCTTTTAGCTCCTGGAGCCTCACGCCCTTAGGAGAGACTAGTCCTCAACCTGAACCGTGAATGAAACCTGAACGTCTGCCGATTTCATCATCCAGCCGGGTATTTCTCCCTCACAGATGAAAATAAAATGAAATATAAAGTGGATTCATTGCTGGCTGCCTCTGGAGTGCAAAACCTTTTGGGATGGTGTGAGCTTCGCTGAAGTCGTGATAACCAGGGCCATTTGCATACAGATTTTTTTTTTAAAGAGAAACACAAAGTTCCCTTCTCCTTTATTTAGCAGTGGTTCTGTGCTGAAAGATGCCCCCTCTCCTCCTGCACTTACCCAGGATGGTAATTAATTGCATCGTCATTTAAAAAATTATGTTGTTAATTACTGCTTTGTGTCTTCCCACCCCTGTCACAGCCTGGAGTTTTTATTCAATTAAATCTCTGTCTCTTGCCCATTTCTCTTGTCATTTTATGTTCCTGAGGTTTAGCAGTCAGCGCACGCACAGGACAACCAGCGCAAAGCTTTTATTTTTAATCTTTGCTTCACATAGATAATCACTTCCCTTCTATCAGAGGTGCAGCAGACGGGCTTGGGGATTTTTTTGTTGTTTGTTGTTGTTGTTGTTTGTTTGTTTGTTCTGCCCAAGGAAGACCTATGAACTCCAACAGCTGGAATCCACCTGGGTTTTGTCAGGCTTCTGGCTCCCAGAGCCTTTGGCGCACGGGCTCGGCTGCTCCATAACCTGTTCAGCTCAACAAGCAGCCCTTCCAGGTGCTGAAGCCACTCCAGGGAAGTGGGTCACACACTCCTATCTGGAAAGTACTGTGCTGTCGCCCAGCAGCAGAGTAATCTCACTAGCTCTCAGAAAGCCCAACTGGGCAATGCCATGGGAAAATGCTATTGCAGCCTTGAAAATTAGAAAAAGGACATTCTAACTTTAATGGAGTATCCTCTCCGCTCACCTCCAGCTTTTAATTAATTTAGAGGGCAGCCCACAGGGAGGAGAGTGGAAGGCGCAGCCATTCCTGCACATCTGCATCTAAATTACTGGCGCTCCACAGCGAGAGGCCCAGCTAACCCAGGATGAGCCCTCTGCAGCCTAAAGAGGCAGCATGCCCTGGCTGGTGGCTTCCCGTCAGGTCGCCAGCCAGCCAGCAGGACTCAGCCATGTTTATCTATCTAAACTGTGCCTTGCAGTGTGGGTTGGGCTCTGCTGCAGCCATAACCTGCAGGTTTCAGAGTCTGGAAATAACAAAGGCCTAATTCTCATTCACACGGGGTGCCCATCACCGGTCAGCAAGGGGGCTGGGCTGTCCTGTTTATTCAGGGGGCTCAAGTGTGACAGAGTGGCCAACTTCACGAATATTGCTAGCTGCCGTATCTGAAGGCAAAGAGCACTTGGAAGGGGCCCGGACCGGTCAAGATGCTCTGGCTTGGAAGTGGCACGTGTCACTTTCCTTCCTAGCCCCTTGTCAGAGTTGCTCAGAGGGCCTCTCAAAACATAAGGGGCCCGGGCGCCTGGGGGGAATAACTGAAAATATTGAGTTAACCACAGTGAGCTCAAACAGGCCTGTGGAGGCTGACAGGTACTGAGCTGCAGATCAGAGACACTAATATAGGGAAACAATGAAGCTTTAAGTCTGGTAAAGAGGCGATAAGTAATGATAGTTCAAGGGAGAAAGAGGAAGTGCAGTGAGGGACGGGAAATAAAGGCCAGAGATATCCAAGAGAGAACATCACAGCTCTGCAGAACCAGCGGCGGCTTCCAAAAGAAGTGGCATCTACTCTAGGTCCTTAAGGAGGAGCAGGATCTGGAGGCATGGATGTTGTGGGGAGGGGGCATATTCCCAGCTGAGGGGCCCATACAATCAAAGTGTTATGCCCGAAATTCTTCCAAAAGACCCTAGCAGACAAATCCGAGACCACACTCCGATGTAAAAGGCAAGAGGCAAGGTTTTTTATTCAGACCGGTCTGGACTCTCCCAGCATGCAAGCCTAGGACAAGCCCCGAACCTGGGGTGGAGGAAGTTTTTATGGGTACAGAAAGCAAGAGGGGTAGGGTCCAGTATGAGTACACTTTTCATTGGTGGTTGGTGATTTCATTAGTAAAGGAGGAAGTAAAGGAGGATTTGCATTGGTAGCTGATGATTTCACTAGTAAAGGTGAATTTGGATTGGTACAGGTGAGGGGTGGAGGGTCCCTTAACCGGGGGCTAGAATTGGTGCAACCTGGTTACCTGTATTTCAAGGTAAAAGAAACTTATTGTTTATTATAGCAGCTGTTTGCCTAAGGTGACTCAGTTTACAGCGCAGTGGCTGTGCAACCTGGGGTGGGGGAAGGCAGCAGGGAGTGGCCCTGCAGGTTTCACTGGCAGAGGTTGGGGCGGAGGGGCTATGAATGGAACTTATGCGGTAAACAGCCAGGAATGGGGCTTGTGCTGTGGCTTGTGCTGTAAATAACAAAATGGAGCTAGTTTGGCTCTCACAAAAGCCCCAGAGCAAAGGAATTCCTAGGGCTGCCACCCCCGAGTCCCAGGGAGACAGTGAAGCCCCTGGGTTCAGCTGCTACCTTGCTGGCTTGCCCTGGTCAATCCAGGCAGACTGCAGGACTATTGCCCCAGGAGCCCTGTGTCCCTTGCCCTGAACCCCACCCCACCAGGCTCTAGACCTGGCCCCTGCCTCATTCTTACCAACCACATCCACTCTCCCTTGCTGCTTTGGCGCTTACTCCCACATGTACCAGCAGCCTGGAACTGCAAGAATGGGCTGAGTTTGAGAATCGGCCCAGCTGCCCAAGCCCATTCACTTAGCCACC